GAGTTGAATAGCTCGTGGCGTAGGCAACGCCTCATTGCTTGTTTGGAGCTGCCGTGCTCTAAGGGGTATCAGTTCGCTGTTTTGGGAGTCCACTGCACGCATGAGCCATTTATCGACAACCGTAGGGTCAGATGCCGGCGGTGTCGTCTCCGCCAGCCAGTGCATAGTTTTGCCTGCTGTAACCGCTTTTCGAAGGTCTGTACAGGTTGAGGTCGCGGGATGGCTTAGCCAGGTCTTTCATGTCAAAAAAAAAAACTGACAACAAAGAGGGGGCGGTTCGACAGCACCAATTTTTTCGACGGGGTTCCTTTCAGACAATTTTGTGCTATCGAACCGCTGCGCTGCTCTGTTATCCACTGCAAAACTGACAACGAGGGGCGGTTCGATAGCACCAAATTTTTCGAAAGGGAACCTTTTAGACTACCGAATCGTGGTTAATGTGTTAGCCATTGCAAGATATGGACAAGAAGCAAGCGCTGTTCGATAGCGCCAAATTCTCCTAAGGGTGAACATTTCTGTTTTCGTCTACAACGTGTAAATGTCAGGCCGCATCCGAGGGAAATTCCCTTTTTTTGTTCGTTTCTGAGAGCCGCAGTTTTGCTTTTGCAAATTTCGGATTTCCCTTCCGATTGCCTTTCGAGTTTGGCTGGCTCCCTTGTTTTCCATGTATTTTTTCTAATTTCCCTTAAATGGTCTAGCTTTCCCGCACCGTTTCCGCTAAACCGTCAATGATTTCCCCTTATATTTTTCCCCCAGCTGTGAAACAATTCCCTTTGTTTCCCTTGATGATTTCCCCTAGTCTTGCTTTTTGACGTCGAAATAACACAACGTGTTGATTCCATAACACACAAAAAGGTTCCTTTCTTGCGTCGTTGTATTGTGGACCCCCAGTTCCTGATCTGTGAGCTTTAAGATGTAGTCTACAGCAAATTTCCGGAGTGGTTCCCTCAGGAGATTTGGTGCTATTGAACCGTTTCGTTCTCCACTGCAAGTAAGGGTATGGACCACGAACAGTGGTGGTTCGTTCGATAGCGCAAATTTTTCTGAAGCCTTTTTTGCTGTTTCTTCAACAGGAAGTCAGTCAAGAAGGGCGGCTCGATGCCATCTGTTTTTTCTGAATTGGTTCCTTTCACTGTTTCCCTTTTCACATATTTAGTATAGTTATCGAATCCTGAAAACAGCGAGGGGTGAATCAAATACCAGAAGGATTCCTTTTCACAAATTTTAGATTGGTGGTGTTCTCCCTATACAATTATAAAAACAAATCAGGCTTGTTGGACAATATACAATTTGGTCTGAAGTGTTTCCCTTCAACATGTTTGGTATACTGCGGTTCGATCGCACCGCATTTTCTGAAGGTTTCGGCATTAGCGAGATGGTAGTTAGTCCACCTATGTCAACCTGCTGTGATAATGTACTCACATTGATCGCTCGCGAAACCTGGTGCATAACGTTCCAAGCTGACACGCTAACCGCTAAACCCCCGCACTCCAAATTCTCAAGCCGTAAGGTCCGAGCCCCCGCCTCAAGCCTCCATCTCCAAACTCTACGTCATCCGAAGCCTTCAACACATGCCACTGCTTCCATATTAAGGGTCTGCAGGGACCCAGGTTTCATGGCTTTTTCGCATAACGCAACACCCTGACACACTAAACCTCTAATTTTAGGTCCTACATATAACCTTGAAGCCCAAAGTCACGCCTGTTGTATCGATCCGGCTCTCAGGGCAAAATCGTGAGTAGGGTTACCGATGTATAGTATGCTAGTGGTGCGGCAAATACCTAACATGTGGTAAAAGCTGTATCGAAGCGCTGGAATGAAACTGCATAAATTCCAATGCTCTTTTGCACTTATGTTGCATAGATATTCAAAGACAGCGCATGCAAAAAACACGAAATCGCGAATGGTGCTGAAAAATCACCGTCAACTTCAAGCTCTTGCGACCATGGTGCAAATTTATCCCAAGATGCAAGAAGCACGTCGCTCGGGCTCAAGCGTGGACACGTTGTTTGGGAGGCTGATGTCTCGTTGTTGTGAACGGGATGCTTTGGTGTTGGGTGAAATTGCTCGGCGGCTTCAAATGAAGAAACGCTTACGCCAACCATGAAGAAATTTGAGCAAGAAGGATGATCGGCTTTACCAATGTTTGGCGAAGTCCGTCAACACCAAGAATCTCTGCGACAACTCGGCCATCAATGGCTTCGTGAGAGAATCGTTGCGTTGTCGAGTCGACCGAGATACTCCCCTACCGGGATTACGGTTACAAGAACACGCTACAGAGCTCGAAACATCGGCGCTGGTGCAAAGAGTACTTGCCTTGGCAAGCGTTGCCAAATCTTCAGCCTTATGTTTCAAAGCTGACTGATGCCATGCTGAAGGAACGTTG